AGTGTTTCCTGTTCCAATTTAGGAAGTGAAAATCTCGTTGAAGAAAATTTTTGGGATTAGAAAAATTCACTGTTGTGCCATTGGACACCAGATAAACTGGTTACAGTACAGTATTTGAATACAAATTGTTTGATTATGAAGACAGCTGTCATTTGTGTTTATCAGGTGTTAAGGGATGTAACGACATCAAACAACTACATGCAGAACTTTAAAAAAAACCAACTTATTTTAGGCAAAACAGTATTTAAAGGAGTGACATTTAATACCAATTGCACAATTACTTCATTATTTAGTAGTAGAAACAAAATAGTCTATGTGGCTATTGTCAAGGCTTACAACTCTTACTTAAAAAATGGGGCAGGTTTAATTGTATCTGCTTGACATTTACAGGACAAAATAATGGCAGAGTAGTATCGTGTAATTGATGGGTGGTATTGCCAATCCCTCTCCCCTGCCTTTGGGGAAAACCCTTCTAGAAGCCCTCTTGCTGGCATTTTTGTCATTCTTACTCTCTTTTTCCATGCTCCTGTAAGTGCCTATGGTGAGAGTGCTGAAGACTTCTATTTATTTGTAGAACAAATACTGCAGGGGCAATGGAAGTGCAAGCCTTACACCACACTAACAATGCACTTTCACCAGTGGAAGAACATTAGTGTGCATGCCTATTCTATCCTTGGTCTCCATGTTGATACTACCAATTTGAATGGGGATTTTTAATATGTTCTCTGAGGGCCCCTCTTCCTGTTGTGGACTAAAAACTCCTTTGCAATAGGTATATTGCAAAGCCTGTCTGAGAAGACATCTGAGGAGGAGTGAGATTCATTTGAAGAGAAAGGGTAGAGTAGGAACTTTAATAATTTTGCTGACTGATGGCTGCTATGGGCTGATTTTGCCAGCTGCTCCACAGAGGCATAGGAGGCTTGGGAGCAACTTGCACTGGGAGCAACTTGCAGGATGGAACTTTGATTTGGTTATTTTCTTTGTAATTATTTTTGGATTGTGCTTTTAATTGTTGTTAAGATCACCTAGAGCCTGGATGGACATGCTTTTATTCTGCTGGTTTTGTTTTTCTTTAAAGTAAATAACCCTCTTTGAAACTTTTGTTTACTATTGATTTGGGCTGGATTTGAACTGGCAAACTAAATGCACTTCCAGATCCCACAAGCCATGATTCCCCCCAAATGTAGAGGCCTCTGATGGTTTAGTAGAAAACACTACAAAAAGATTACCAGAATCCTACAATGAGAAAGCAAACCAGTCCTTTTACCTAAAAAAATGAAAAACATTAATATTAGTACTGTAAAAACTTATCAAAGACTGTTCCTTTAACTAAAAATGATGAAAATGCCATGACCTGGACATAAAAATACTAGTGCTCAGAAATGACTAGAGTGTCTGATCAATAGAAGAGAAATGGCGACTTGTACAGAGATTCATATAATAGGAAATCAGAAGGTTACGAGTCTTTAGATGATCCAGGATGAAATATGAACAGTGTCCCAGCAGTTAAAGACCTGAACAATTTTTGGGGAGTAGGTACTAAAAACATTGTAAAGCACATAACTTCATTTTTTATAAAGTGTTAATGAATCATCTCAAATCTTTTCCGTCTCCATCCCAACCTAAAGCTCAGGTCAGAGCAAGGAGGAGAATATATGATACAGTATATTAGAATGATATACAAACAATATTTTTCTTTTTTGTGACATTTGAACAACTAAGTAATAAGTAGAGATGATCTGAGTTTTCCAACTAAATATTTTTCACTGGAAAATGCTTATTTGTCAAAACTGAAACTCTGGGAAAGGGTTGGCTTTGACAAATTTCCCAAACTGAATTTTTTATTTTAAAAAATGGTTTCAAATTGTCAAAATGTTCTGTTTCAACATTTTCTAAACAAAAAGTTTCATTTTTGGTTTGAAACAACTTTTTGTTTTGAAAATTTCTGTTAATTTATAATCTCCAAAAAGAAAGGTTAAAAAAGGTTGAAATAAAAATAATAAGTTTTGGAATGATCAAAAGGAAACATTTCATTTTACCTAATCCAAAAAAAAAAAAATTCAGGTTCAGTTCATAAAAATATGAGATTTATAATTTGTCACAATTTGTGGCAGGATAAATTTCAAAATCTTTAAAACTTTCATGGGATGGGAAAACCATTTCCCACCTAGCTCTAGTAATAAGAGAGCCTACTTCACCTGTCCACCCCTACTGGCTGGCCACAGTGACTGTACAGTCTGTTAATTTCTAACCCAGGTTTTCACTGCAGTTAAAGCCTCAAATTAGCCTAACTCAAATGAGAGCAGCCACATTGTAAAATAACATTCAGATTGTAGTGATTGAATTGCCAGCTGAGTTGTGTTCACTTGAGCTCCATTGACTGGACAGCCAAATCAAGTTAAAAGAACTACCATGCTTGAGTTAATAGTTTTTGTGTGTGGATGGGATTTGATCTGAGGGCAACACTGAAGTTATAACTCAGGTTAACTCTGCAGGGAAGCCAAGTCCTTAGACTAGAGGCAGCCTGCCTTAGTACAAGTGATAGCTTCTTTTAGTGCTGGGTTTGATCACATCTAACAATGCTGGTGTCTGTGAATATGAGACCAAGAGTTTAACAAAACTTGTTTAGCCCTGGTTAAAATTATTTTAAAATATAGCTTATTATAAATTAAACTTTTTTTTTAAACGAAGTCCTGTTTTCTCTCCATAGACATTAAATAACCAATTACACTTCTTGAAATAGCAGTGATTTTTCCTGGTGTGCTTGGACTAAAATTTCCATCCTTAGCTGTTGTGCACTGTGCGGTATACTAGTTGGTTACCACACTCCCACCTTAGAGGATGCTGCATTTCATTGGTGCTTTGTGTATATGTGTGCATATGTATACATTATGCTGATACTCTCAAAACAATGTTTTATTTATTTGATATAGGTGTACTTTCTGTTCTCAGTTTGGTGGAATTATTGGCACTTTTACATTTCAACCTGCATGAACTCTGACACGGACTTGCAGCTGTATAAATAAATCAAACCTGGAGTCTAGAAAACATTTAGGCTATGTCTGGAGTAGAAAAACAGGAGTTTAAGGGTATGTCTACACTATGAAATTATGCCGATTTTATAGAAGTCGATCTTTAGAAAGTGATTTTATACAGTCGATCGTGTATGTCCCCACTAAGTGCATTAAGTCGGTGGAGTGCATCCTCAATACCATGGCTAGCTTCAACTCACGGAGCTGGGCACTGTGGATAGCTATCCGACAGTCCCCGCAGTCTCTGCTGCCCATTGGAATTCTGGGTTAAGCTCCCAATGCCTTATGGGGCAAAAACATTGTCATGGGTGGTTTTGGGTACATGTCGTCAAGTCTTCCTTCCCTCCCTCCCTCCGTGAAAGCAACGGTAGACAATCATTTTGTGCCTTTTTTCCTGGGTTACCCGTGCAGATGCCATAGCAGGGCAAGCATGGAGCCCACTCAGCTCACCGCTGCTGTTGTGAGCATAGTAAACACCTTGCACATTATCCTGCAGTATGTGCAGAACCTGGCTAGGAGCCGCCAGCACGAGGACGATTGTGAGGACACGGACACAGACGTTCCTGAAAGCACAGGATGTGGCAATTGGGACATCATGGCAGCAGTGGGGCAGGTTGATACAGTGGAACGCCGATTCTGGGCCCAGCACACAAGCACAGACTGGTGGGACCGCATAGTGTTGCAGGTATGGGATGATTCCCAGTGGCTGTGAAACTTTCACATGCAGAAGACCACTTTCCTGGAACTTTCTGAGTTGCTTTCCCCCACCCTGACGCGCAGGAATACCAAGATGAGAGCTGCCCTGACAGTTGAGAAGCGAGTGGCGATAGCCCTCTGGAAGCTTGCAACGCCTGACTGCTACCAGTTAGTTGGGAATCAATTTGGAGTGGGTAAATCTACTGTGGGGGCTGCTATGATCCAAGTAGCCAAGGCAATCACTAACCTTCTGCTAGCAAGAGTAGTGACTCTGGGAAATGTGCAGGCCATAGTGGATGGCTGCTGCAATGGGGTTCCCTAACTGTGGTGGGGCAATAGACGGAATGCATATCCATATCTTGACACTGGACCCTCTTGCCAACCAGTACATAAACTGCAAGGGGTATTTCTCAATGGTGCTGCAAGCACTGGCAGATCACAAGGGACGTTTCACTGACATTAACGTGGGATGGCCGGGAAAGGTGCATGACGCTCGTATCTTTAAGAACTCCATGCTGTTCGAACAGCTGCAAGAAAGGACTTACTTCCCAGGCCAGAAAATTACTGTTGGGGATGTTGAAATGCCATCCAAAATCTGAGAGGATGAGGTGTGGAGCATGCTTTTAGAAGTCTTAAAAGAGCAACACTCTGATGCGGAAACTACAGAACCAAACCACCAAAAAAGAAAATCAACCTTCTGCTAGTGGCATCTGCCTCAGATGATTAAAATGAACATGTGTCAGTCTGCACTGCTTTGGATCGTTATCAAGCAGAACCCATCATCAGCATGGAAGCATGTATTCTGGAATGGTAGTTGAAGCATGAAGGGACATATGAATCTTTATCGTATCTGGCACGTAAATCTCTTGCAACGCCTGCTACAACAGTGCCATGCAAATGCCTGTTCTCACTTTCAGGTGACATTGTAAACAAGAAGCAGGCAGCATTATCTCCTGCAAATTGTAACCAACCTTATTCTGTCTGAGTGATTGGCTGACCAAGAAGTAGGACTGAGTGGACTTGTAGGCTCTAAAGTTTTACATTGTTTTATTTTTGAATGCAGTTTTTTTGGTACATAATTCTACATTTGTAAGTTCAACTTTCATGATAAAGAGATTGCACTACAGTACTTATATAAGGTGAACTGAAAAATACAAATATTTGCACTGTAAAAAAAATGGTCATAAAAACTAAAGTGAGCACTGCACACTTTGTATTCTGTATTGTAATTTAAATTAATGTATTTGAAAATGTAGTAAACATCCAAAAATATTTAAAATAAATGGTATTTTATTAATGCGATTAATCACAATTAATTTTTTTAATTGCTTGACAGCCCTAATACAAACCTTACTTCACTGTACATTTTTGTGAATAAATACATCAGATTCCTTGCCTTGCTTTTTTGATGCTATGACATGTAAAAAAAACCATTTGTTGACATAAAGATGTCAGCAGAAGGTACATAATTGAAATTAAGAATTCTGAAATCTGTTGCACAGTGTGTGTTCATACTTTTTTTAGGAAATTATTAAGTTGAGCCAATTTTCCTCTTTTCAGCTCTTTAATACTCCAAACAAAAGCTTCCGTTCTGCTCTGTCCCTTTCACATATTTGTTGCATGTCCAAAATCACACAGCTAAATTTAGGGGGAAAATATCAAAACAAATTATAAACGTTTAGGAGGAGGGACTGTCTTTTTATTAAGTATGTATGCTGCCTAGCTCAATAGGCATTAATGAAATAAAATTAATTTGTTTCAATCGTTTGTGTTCACATATACTGTGACATTTGGAACCGCATCACTGTCAGCTTTCACATACAAACACATTTAAAGAGCATTTAGAGGAAGAGCACATTAATTTAGGCTTCGGTTGGCTTGTATCCTACTTACAGTGATCAGAACCACACTAAAACATGGTTGTTGATATGGGTGTAACTAGCAGGGTGTCAGTCAGTGTGGACAGGGATTCTTTTTCTCCTGAAAATTGTGCTAGTGAATTTTGTCAAAGACTAACTTTTTAGCAGCGTACCACTGCGTGTGACTGTTAGTATAAAACAAAACCCAACCACACTGCAGTGATCTGGGAGAAGTGGTTAGAACTTTGATAAAAACTATGTATCAACATAAGTGTAACTAGTACAGTTCTGTTCCAAGTGTGGACCAGGCTATATTATAAAAGAAGCTGCTGTGGTGGAGGGCCTGGTTTCACATTAATTCCCAATATGGTTAAAACACTATTTGGCCTTGTAGATGGGATCAGATGATGCTGACAGAGACTGGGGCTTTATCAAACTGTAGAATGGATTAAGTAATAATTTTATTCACTTCACTACAACCAAAAGCTTGTTCTAAAAACAGCTTCTTTGGTTAGTTTTAGGACTGCATCTTCCTCCCCAGTTTTGTTCACTTCAGTAGGCTCCAAAACTGATCTACAAAGATCTTAATTATGTCATCTGACTTAAGCATTCAAGGTCAGCATCTGTATTAGAGTATTCATGTAAATCAGCCAAGGACATAAGTCTCACCAAGTTCAGCTGAAAAGTCCTCCAAGATAAGAGTGTGATTTCCTTGATGTCAGCTGCAAAACCAACTTTTCAGTTACAACTGACAAAGTTGTTACCTCCAGCCTGGTACTATGCAACATAAACACCATCCAAAACACCAAGATCTTTTGTGGACTTTCTCACATTTGCTGTGCCACCATCAGTTTGCATGAAGATTTTATGCACCATGATCTTTCTATAATGGAGCTTTAAATTGTGAATGACCCCTTCAGTTGTAGTCTGGTGTAGAGAAATTGTACAGGGCAGCAGAAAGTTCAGTTTCACATTTGTAAATTCCGGTATAGGATGGGCTGAACAATTGAGAATCACTGCAATTTTCCCTTTGTTTTCCCCTCATCTCTTGGTCAATGTTCATAAGCCATTCAGTGACTCTGATGACAATCATTTATGCATTCCTGTTTGCTTTATAGATCGTAGACAGGGAGGGGACACCAGGAAAACAACATGGCATTTTCCTTTTTTCAATCACAAGAATTTTCATTTTATCTTTGCCTGTTTGGCTTTCACACACAAGAACAGTGACTCTTTCCTTTGCTATTTTGCTGCTAATTATGACTTTTTAAAGACCAGAATTTCCTCTGGGATTGCTGTAAAGTAAATCAGCAATAAACGTCCTCCAAAGAGAATTTGGCCAAGACTGAAGGTAGGACATCTGTTGTCCAGTGCTTGAGTTCAGATACCAGTATCTCTCTCACCGTGGCTCCATTTAAATACAATGTTAGTTCATGCTTTCTGCCAGTAAAGCCACCTGTTGACTGGTTCAAAATTTTCAAGTCCCATTTCTGTTGCAATGTTTTATGCTTTCCTGATCAGTAACTCGCCTGTAATTGATGTGTTCTGATGATGTGAATGAACAAACCAGCGTAGAATTGCCTCCTCTACCCCGTTTTTCCCCACCCATTGCCATTTTTGATTGTAGTTTGAACTATTGTGCTACTCGTTTAGGATTTCTCTCTTTCTCTTTAAGATCTTACACACAGTTGAGACTGAAAATTGCAAGGAAACATCTTTTTGTCTGTTAGCTGGATTTGCCATCTGGACCTTGTCTGCAAGAGTCAAGTTGTGGGCCTTTAGTTTCTGGCTCTCCTTGGCTCTTGCTAGATAAGTCCTTTAGATAGAGTTGTCAAACAAAAAATAACCCTATACCTCTACTGTGTTACTTGAAGCATGATGCCAGTAGATTTTAAATTGGCATTAAATGGGAAAATATTTAATGTCAGTTGAAATTGAACAGGCATATTTATGTTCAGTTGATACAAAAAGTGTTGGTTCGAATAAGTGGATTTTCCTATTAATGAAGTGACATTAGAAGAATTTGATCACATACTAACGTTTTCATTTTTCTGGATTAGTTATTCAAATCCAATAACTCTGTCCAAGAATGCAGCAAACTTTTCTGGCTGTCCAGGAGGAAAGGGTTTCAGTGTTGACAAATTGATTGACTTCAATGACTCCAAAAGCGTGCTATAAAAACAAAGCAAAACCAAAGGCAACATGAACGATTAAATACTTCACATGGGGGTATTTTGTCTTTCACTATTTTTTCTAATCCTACCTTAAAGCATGCATGCACATGAGTCCCTTTGGCATTAGATTAGGAACAAGAACACACATTAGAGGGAAAAGAGACACCATAGGTGGAAAGAGAATTAGCAAAATGAAAATGATACTATTTCAGCAATACTCCTGGGGGAATTCTGTGCCGTGTGGGGGGAGCAGAATTCATACCCTCCGCAGATTTATTGACTCCCCCGCAGAAAAATGGGGGAGCAAAGAAATCTGCGGGGAACACATGCCCCTTCTGCAGCAGCCCGGGCGCATCCGCTGGGAACAGCCGGCAGCAGAGAGCAGATCACCATGGGAGGTTGAGGGGAGGGAAGGGAGGCTGGATATGCGTGTGTGTGTGTGTGTATGTGTGTGTCCGTGGAAAGAGAGTAAGGTGGTGCAAATGAGTGAGAGAGACTCACTCTGTCCCTCTCATCGCTATTGCTGCATCCTGGGCTTGGACTGGCATAGGGCAGTGTGAAGCAAGCTCCGTCCCTGAGGCAGAGCAGAAATGTATCAACTAAACAGGCAGGCTGCTAATGTTTCCATTGTCTTTTACCTTGTCAGAGTGATGTAAAGGAGCCTTATTGTAAATGACAGTAACGGACTCCTCAGCTAGGAAGGTCTATGGGCTTTCTCCCTTTTTTTCCTATGCCAGAGAGGCACAATGGGGTTAGATTACAGCTCAGGATCTACTTTACTTATCCATTTAAAATAAATGCAGAACAATGATTAGCAAACTGTATGACTCTCATGTGTGAAAGTCTGAGCAATTTAAAGTGGCAGTCTACTTTACAGAACACCAAAATAAAAGTAATGTAAATGAAAATCCAGGATTATAACTGGCATGCAGGGTCTTGGCTACCAAGTAGTTGTGACTGAACTTTCATGTGTTTAGGAAATGCTGAACAGTTATTGTGATTTTTTTTCCTGTATGGTAGTTTAAATAAATTACCAAAATAAATGAAACTGGTGTGTTTATATTGCATTATTTTGACAAATAAAATATGCAGAATTTTGGATTTTTTTGTTGCCGAATTCCCCCAGGAGTAACATGACCAATGGTTTTTCCTTTCAATGTGGACCCAGATTCAAAGTGGGTTAGGTGCTGTCCCAGGTCAAAAGCCACCGTACACTCCCTTTTTTGTCTGCCCTTCAGATCCCTTCTCAAAATTCTTCTTCCACTAAACATTTGGTTATTTATGTCTCATGAAGTACTTTTAAATTTACCAAAACATAAGAAATTACTATGATAACCCAAAGTTCCCAAACATGAATCATAAAACATGCAACATGTATCCTAAAGCCTTCCCACTCTCCCTTCTTAATTTTTCCTGAATGATTTTCACTTCTGAAGGACAATAATATTCATTGTGTTATCTGTGTATATATTAAGTTTAAGATCCTTGAGGGAGGGACTTCATCTTATTTTATTCATTAATAGTACCATGCACTATATAAGTAATAAGATTACTTAAATTTAAGACACTTGTGAATGCATTTCACATTATCCAATCTGTATCCTCTTTTTACCTTCCTAAGATCTCCTGACTACAGACAGCCATATAGAGTCTTGACCAGGTGTTAGAATTAAGTTGACAGCAGGAGCAATCAGTGTGCAAGACAAGAGAGCTTGTGTCAGATCTAAATGGTTATTCAACAACTCTCTTTCTGGGTAGGATAGTGGTTGATCAACCCAAACCTCTGATGTTGTTTTAAGGCTGTATTCAACATGAAGACCTAAATAAGTTCAAATAGAAGCTTCTGAAGAGACAGGGCCTTTTATTAAATTTACCTTACAAGGTACGTTACTTAGATCTATTGGCCAGTACTGCTTTCTACCAACTTCAGAGGTTTGGATTTGTTTGGGGTTTTTTTTTCTGAACAGTTTGAATAACTATAACTCAAACCCCTTCACTTTTGCTCTGTTTAGAGTGTTTGTCATTTAATCGGAATCAGTAGTGCCCTTAAAAATGATAACCTTGGAACCAGATTTTCAACCGTTTGGTGAAAGTAGCACCAAGCGTAACTCTAGTAGTAATCTACCTTGGGAAAAATATGTAGCAGTGGTAGACTAGCTCTGGAGGGAGCTATGCCCAATCTAGTCATTGTCTGTTTGAGGAAGAGTTACTGATTTTTGCCTTTGATGTACAGTTGCAGAGAAGAGATCCCTCCCACCCCCCAATAAATCTATGTGTTGTGACACTGTAAAATAAAACTGTGAAAACTATGTCTAGCACAATGGGGTCCTGGGCCACGACTAGGGCTCCTATGCACTACCTTAATACTATTAATAATAATACTCGTTCAGTCAGGATGGCTGCTGTCAATTTCTTCTAAGGGAACAAAGTGAGAACAATTGGCTGTACCCTTAGGAGGAGACACAAATGATATGAAAATATGTGCCATACCTACAAGTACAGTAAAAGAGGTGTCCATCTCTGTATAGTTGCCTGGCTAATTCTAGCTGATGATTGTTCATCAACTTTTCATTTACCACCACCAAGAGTGGTTTTCCTTTTTCCAGTGTCTCCAAACAAGTGCCTGCACCTACAGAAGAAATCAGTAACATGAACAGTATTTGCACATATGCATCCAAGTTTCACCTTACACTCTTGCAGTAAAACATAATTAACCCTGAAGTATTTACTCAGGTCATACTCCCATTATGCTGTATGATTCCACTGTCATTTGGTTTGAATGAGAGTTTTAACTAAAATTTTACAAATTTTTAACTGGGAGACTGTCACGGATCCCTAGAATTGGTGCTCTGCCTCTAGCTTTGGAAAACTCTCTAGGAGGAACACCTTCAGCATGCCAGTCCCCCCAAGGGGTCTCACTCTTCCCGCACAGGGTGGGCCTTGTGGCCTCACCACCTCCTTAGACACGACCTCTGGGGCTCCAGCACTCCCGTTTCACACTGTGAGCTCTGTTCAGTGAGTCCAACTGAGCTAGAGTCCTGGTGGGGACTTGTCCACTCTTCGGGAATTAATGCACCTCATCAAGCATTTGCAGACATACTCCAACTGCATTGTCAAAACATTAGGGTTTATTAGTCAACTGGAACACAGCATCGGACGTTTTTAGGTCAGCATAGAGAAATGAAGCTTAAACCATGGCACACACCATTCTAGTGAACTCAGAGTCCAGCCAAGCTGTAGTGACCCACAGGGTTCAAGCTCTCTCTCTCTCTCTCTAACCTCCTTAGTCAGTTCCCAGCTAAGAGATGTCTCCTTTCAGCCATCAATTCTTATCCCCCACCTCACAGCTTTCCCATCCTTTGTCCTTGAGCTGATATGTTGCTGAGCTACCCTGCAGAGGTGGGGAAATCTCTCTCCTTCTGGGTCATTGGCTGTTAGTTGTCACTATCCCGGTGATTGGATTTGCCACTATCTTCTCAAATTCTCCATTGACATGGGGTCAGCCTCTGCCAGTCCTTTTCCAATGCCCCACTGAAGCTCAGACAGCCAGGTGATAGTCATACCGATGACCGTTAGCCTGCCCTGAGAGCAAAGAGCCCTTTTCCACCCCTTGGGTAACAATGCAGCATATAGGGGAAACCGAGGCACGCACCGGTGTCATGAAACTATTACAGACAATCCCCACTTCATCACAGTGACAAAGCTAAAAGCTCTAAAACTTGGCAGTGGCCCCTCAGGCTGTGTCAGTTTTCCTGCCCCCTGCCCCAGAGCAAACCCAGCACCTCAGCTCACCAGAGTGGCCCTGCTCTGGCCCAAAGCAGGCAGCCTCTCCGCAGCAGAGCAGAGCTCGCCTCCCTGACCCCGCGCACCTGCCTCCGCCAGACGCTCAAACGCCCCCCACGGAGCCGCCTTACCTGCGTGGCTGATCACCAGATCCGCTCTCTCAAGCTCCTCAGCCAGCGACTCCTTGAACCGGAACACCTCCAGTGTAAACGCCGCCGTGCGGAACCGGGCCGGGGCCGCCGCCCCTCTGCCAACCTGCAGGACGAGTCGGCCGTAGCCGAGGCTCCGCAAGACCTACAGCGAGACGGGGGGGGGTTACATCGCCCTGGGCTCTGCGCCTCCTGGCCCGGGGACGAGGCGGGCTGGGTTGGGCCGGCCCGGGGGCCAGCACCGCGCCGAGCCGGCGCCGGGTGAGGGGAACGCTCCGGGACCCAGCAGACACTCCCCCCGCGGGCAGGGAGCAGCCAGGCCGGCTGGGGCCTGCGGCGCGAGCCGGGAGCCGCGGCAGGCCCAGGGTCGCACTAGGCCCCGCCGCCTGCGGGAAGGGCGCCTCGGCCTCACCTGGAGAGTCTCCGGGGCGGTCACCGCGGCGATCAGCTCCTCGAAGCTGGTCGTCCCCACGGTGACAAAGGCCGATTTCATGGCCGGCTCCCCGCCGCGTTCGCTCGGACTGGCTG